ATACCAGCCCTTTGGTCCCAGGTCACATCTAGTTTGGCAACCAAAAGGCATACAAAGGTTTACGACCATGCAATAAATGGTCTGGGGGTCACAACCACACAAATGACTGCATACAATGACATGAAAGCATCAGCTAAAGAACTTAAGGGGTGCTATTATAAAAATTGCCACCACACCCCCAGGGGTCTGTACTCGGCCCAACTCTTTTTTCCCTGTACATGCTTCCGCTGGGATCACTTCTAAGGAGATATGGGTTCTCTTTTCATTGTTATGACATCCAGATATACTTACCATTAAAAGCAGCTGGAGGGATGTCTCTACAGCCACTTTGACTGACCTGAAAGCCTGGCTGGCTCAGAACTTTTTAAAATTAAATGAGGATAAGAGTGTGTTTTATTTGGTGAGCTGGCGAAATTTTCTGCTTTTAATCACGACTTAGGCCCCCTGGCTCATCATTTGAAGATGACTGTAAAAAACCTAGGGGTAACGTTTGACTGTGACCTAAGATTCGACAAGCAGATCAACTCAGTCGTAAAATCTAGTTTCTTTCACCTGAGGTCGCTAAGTAAAGTCAAGTCATTTCTTTCTTTTAATGACTTTGAGATTGCAATTCATGCTTTTATAACTTCTAGACTTGACTATTGTAACGCATTATACCTTGGTGTTAATCAGTCTCTCTCTTGTCTTCAAATGGTCCAAAATGCTGCTGCTCGTCTTTTAACAGGTACTAGGAAATTCGACCATATAACTCTGGTACTGGCCTCTCTTCACTGGCTTCCAGTTCGTTTTAGAATTCATTTTTAAGCTATTGATTTTTGGTTTTAAGGCTCTTTGACACCGCCTTACCTCGCTGAGTTGGTGAGGTGGCACAAACTGACTAGATTACTCAGATCCTCAAGCCAGTTTCTGTTAGAGGTGCCCAGGGCCGGATTAAAATGCTGGGGTGACCGTGCTTTTATTGTTGCAGCTCCTAAATTGCGGAAAGGTTTACCTTTTAATGTTAGACCCTCTACAGACTTGACAACTTTTAAATCATTGGTTAAAACATATTTATTCACTTTGGCTTTTAATACATAGTGCTGTCTAATGTTTCCTCCTTTTATCTGTTGATTCTGTGTACTTGGTGTTTTTTATGTTCCTATGTTGTTTTATTTTTCTATTGATATTTTTTACTCTGGATTTGCATTGCCGTGTAAAGTACTTTGGTCGACCAGACGTTGTTTTTAAAGTGCTATACAAATAAATTTTGATTGATTTTGAGCTAAATGCTAACATGAGCATGTTAGTATCTAGGACTCCAAACAGGTTTAAACACTGTGGATTAAATGCATAACATATTTATTTATTAGGTCTGATTTTCTTGCTGCTTTTTGTTTCCTGTATCTCCTAACTTTGGCTGTTTTGTGCTTGTTGTGTCAGACCCCCAGGGCCTGGGCAGATGAGAGGAGGAGGGGCTCTCATAAACGCTCAGCTTCCTGTGGGAGCACCGACCAGCTCAAGGAGGTCAGTGTCTTTCTGGACATGTGGGCCCAAATCAACAACCAAATGATCTGTTCGGTTTATCTACTGCACAACAGTGGTTTCTTTGTAGACAGAATGGTGGCCCCTGGGTCACAATGAGATGAAAACCGCTGATCTACATACTGTATATGTCTGCATTACTATGCCTGTCTGTGAATCTCTCCAGATTGCCAAATTGCGTCAGCAGCTTCAGCGCAGCAAACGCAGCAGCCGCCATCGGAGGGATAAAGAGCGCAAGTCCCCATTCAATGGCAGCCATGCTATCATCCAGTCGCAGGTAATCAATAGAGAGAGTGTGGTGGAGTGACTGGGTGTGCGTCTACAAAGTGGCTCCACCTCTGAGAGGAACTAGGCTGTGTCCTTAATTTTTGAAGTTTGAGGACATCCCAGTTTCCTTTAAGTCCCTGAATAGCTCTGGTGTGCATGTGTACGTGCTTTCAAGTAATTTGAAATGTTACCTGGGGTTTTTAATGATCTTTGGTTTATGTGGAATCAGTTACAATGGGTCTGGCCTTCTGTACCTTCCCATGAGACAAAGATAAAGGACTGCCTGAGACAACGTCTGTCCACAAACAATGCTGTAGTAAACATTTTTTGAGTCAGTGTGACATACACTTCCCAAGAATATCATTATCACTGATGTGCATTGCAAGGACTGACATACCATGAATGCTGACAGTGCTGATTATTTTTATCAGTACTATGGCTCAGAGTGGCCTCTATACATTTGAAAACAAACAAGACAGCCCAAAAGACAAGACAAAACCAAGATAGAAACAAAAAAGAAAATCAGTCAACTCTCACAAACCCAATTTTCCAATGAGGTATAAATGAATCTATAAGGAGTTCTAGAGTGTGACAGAATCCAGTATGTAATAAATGTTTACGAGGCAGGTTGCCCCTCAGTACTAACAGTGTTTGGCAGGTGTCCGACCTAAAAGTAGATGTACTTTCTGAGATACAGCTAATGAATGACACTTCAAAGTAACAAATGAGCTACAAACTTCACTGTGCTCTGGAAACCAAGTAATGGAGCTATAATTTGTCATCATTTCTGTTCCCTGTACTAAAACACGTTTCAGTATTTTTGTGTACTTGTGTTGGTATTACAAGTGCAGCTGTAACTTTTCTTGTGTTGGCTTAAGCAATAAAGCCAGAAATATGAAGAATATTTAAACATTTCTTCTATTTGCAGTCTGTTCTAACATGAGGGCGGTGTTTGTATCTTGTATGTTTTGCAGTCACCTATGCCCAAGACCATTCTGATCCCCATCCCTATATCCAAGTCATCGGCCCCTCGTTTCCGCAACAGTGTGGAGGGCCTCAACCAGGAGATTGAACGCATCATTATCCGCGACACCCCTGAGAAGGATGAGACCATAGTGGTGAGTTCCACTCAGGGTTAATGGGCATTCAGACTGATTCAGTAAAAACACAACTCCCTGCTGTGTTTTAACGCGCTGCGTTGGTCAGGGGTACATGTTTGGTCAACACAGCGCCTTTGCAGGATGATGTCACCATCTGGTGTGGTGAAAGTTGAACCAGATCCAACTTTTTCACTACATGCCCTTTTTCCCTTGCGGTGCTGGTGCCTGCTGCAGTGAATGCAATCTCCCATAGAAATGAATGTAGAGGGCTGCGTTTTTTCACACATTTGAAACTCAGTGTAAATGTGGCCTTAAGGTTTTTTTTTTTTTTTAATTCAACTTTATTCAACCCGAAGAATACAGTACTGTCATCCAAAGATACAAAGATATAACAGTGTATTCAAAATACATTCACCGAACCAGAATAGAAATGCGGCCTTAAGGTGCTCAGAAATTCTTTTTCCTCAGTGATGTCATTAACAGTGTTGTTATTGTGACCTCATTTGTGTATGTTCAACAGCCACAGGATGTCCCAGATGGGCACCGTGCACCGCCACCTGTCCCCCCACAGCGCAGCAGCAGCACCCGCAGCATCGACACACAGACACCCTCAGGGGGCGGCCTAAGTGGTAACCACAGCAACTGCAGTAGCCGTCCTGACTCCATCTCACCCTCCTACCTCAGCGTCCTCAACGACACAGGTGGAGGCAGCCCCTATGAGGATAAAGGTGAGCAACGCAGGGTATACAGTCAGGGAAAAAATTATTTGAACCCCAGCTGATTTTGTAAGTTTGCCCACTAACAAAGAAATGATCACTCTACAGTTTCAGTGGTAGGTTTATTTGAACAGTGAAAGACACAACAATAACAAAAAATCCAGAAAAATGCATTACAAAAAAAGTTATACATTAATTTGCATTTTCATGAATGAAACAAGTATTTGATCCCCTATCAGTCAGCAAGATCTCTGGCTCCCAGGTGTATTTTATACAGGTAACGAGCTGACACTGGGAGCCCTCTCAGCTTGTTACCTGTATAAAAGAGACCTGTCCACAGAAGCAATCAATCAATCCAGATTCCAAACTCTTCACCATGCACTACAAGACCATCGCCATGCATCTGGGTGAGAAGGTGACAATAATTGGTGCAATTATTTGCAAATGGAAGAAACATAAATTAACTTCCAATCTCCCTCGGTCTGGAGCTCCATGCAAGATCTCACCTCGTGGAGTTTCAATGATAATGAGAA